GTTTTTAAAAATTGTATTTGCCCAATTTTTGTTAATCATTTTTCATATGTTATAAGTATTTATTTTAAAAATAAATTGACCATATCGCCTATAAATAACAAAACATTTTAAACTTAAAACAAGTTGGACATATATCCCTAACTATCTTAATCCTTTTGTGCATATGATCTCTAGCTCAACGGGGTGATGCACCCATGCTTTCCCCTTATGGGGTTTTCTCCTGGAGGTGGCGGGTTCGAGCCTTGCTCGGACCAAAGTGGTGAATTTAGGTATGTGGAAAAGGCGGTGATTCCAAGCTGCCAAGTCTATCGGACGGCCTGGTCTAATACGCAATTTAATATAACTCCACCGTTTCCAAAAAATAAAAAAAATAAATAAATAAAAAATAATAAAAAAAAAATCTTAATCCTTTTGCAACAAAAAGATGTGAGGAGGTAAATAGTTTTCTTTAAACTAAACAAAGGGGGTGTAAATGAAATTTCTGAAAAAACATTCCAAAAGTATAAAGAACTGTCGTGGTGCACACTTTTAACCACAGAACCCGCAGGGGAAGAGATATGGTCTTGCCCTCCGTGTTTCAAACCCCTGCCACTGCCATCTCCACCGGGAATTCATCTTCCAATATCACGACGGTTCTCTTGCACCTGCTCCGCCGTCGTTTATCGGGAATCTTCTTCATTATCATCGTCTTCAGTCGCTCAGCGTCCCGCTGTCATTCTTCCTGTAAGTCATATCTCGATTTATGTAAATTTTGCAGCTTTTATCATGTGTTTTCGGTTTGCCTTTCTTCCATGCTTGTGAATTCACTGTAATCGATCCTTAATCGTAAACGCTGATGTTCATTCCGGAGACATTTGGCACTAGCATTTCGCTATCGGAAAATTGCAATAAAGGACTGTAAGCGTATTAGAAGTTCAGATTATTTGGATTTTCGACATTGACAAAATAGGTTATATTTCAACAAAAATCGATAAAAAATTTTATTACCATCAATATTGAAACTTTAAATTCAAGCGAATTGACCTCAATCGCTTCAGTATATACTTGTTTCACTGGAAAACAGTGAGTAAAGAGTTCGATTTTGTTGATTTCTACTCAAATCCTCCAGATATACGACATCTTTTTGTTTAGATGTTAATGAAATTACAGTAACGCCATAAGATCAATGTTTTCCAAACATAAATACTTCAGTTGTATGAACAAAAGCATAAAACTTATATTGATTGTTGACAGGGGTTGGGGAATAATACAGGTGACTATGAGAAATTAGCTTTGACCTTACAAGGATATGGTGTTTCAACTGTGGTTGCTAATGTGTCAAGAATCGATTGGCTGAGAAATGCTGCTGGTTTGGTTGACCCTAATTACTGGCGAGGCACCCTCCAACCTCGCCCTGTTCTTGATTGGTAATTTGGTTTTACTAAGCTTTTTGATGCCACATCATCAAACAAAAATGAATTTAATATTAGCATAATAGTGAACAAGCTCTATGGAAATGAGTTTGGTTTTAGTAGAATAGTGAAAAAGTGGTTGTAAATTTACAAGCAAAAGTGAAAAAGCTCTCGCAATAGCTTTTTTTGACTTTTTGTAAGCTTATTTGACCTAATAAGCTCCTATTGTGGATGCTCTTAGCTTTATGGATTGAGTTTGTTAATTAGTGAATGTCATTAAAGCTAAATATACTGTGGTCAGGTATTTAAATCGGGTTGATGAGGCTGTTAATGAAGCTTTGAAACAATCTCAAGGTCTGTAGTTTCTCTTTCTATTAATCATTGAATATATTAGAAAATTTATGTGCATTATAAATATATTACTTAAAAAATCTATAGAACACAGACGAAATTACAAGAATTATAAAAATGCATCTTTTATATCAGTCATTATAAATTTACAAATGGAATACATAAACATTTATAAAAAATAAAAGACATGGTTAGCATCATAAAGGATGGTTTGAAAAATCAATAACACAACCAGTCTGGATTATACTAGGTCAAAGTAGATAAGCCTTTTGGGGCTATTTTCAAAGGGCATTCACGTCTTTTTCACAAATGAGAGATTGATAGCGAGTCCATGTCCCACCTTTTTAGGCGGGACAAAAAGTTACCATTTTTGTTTCATTGACAATCAGTCATGTCAAATACAGTACAACTTGTTCTGTCATGTCTTGTCCTGCGTAACATCAGTTCAATTGTCTTGCATAACATCAGTTCAATTGTCCTGCATAACATCAGTCCGGTCAAATGCAGTACAACTTGTTATGTCTTGTCTTGTCCTAAGTAACATCAGTCCAGTCAAAAGTCCAGTCAAATGCAGTACAACTTGTTATGTTCTGTCTTGTTCTAAGTAACATCAGTAATGCAGTACAACTTGTTATGTCATGTCTTGTCCTGTGTAACATCAGTCTAGTCAAAATGCAATACAACTTGTTCTCTCCCCTTACACCTTTTTTTAAAATTTACATGAATCATCATTTGTATACATCCTTATGATTGTTATTAATTATCCTCATGCACATTTGTAGGTGGTTCGTTGTCTATTATTGGACACTCTGCAGGAGGGTGGTTAGCTCGGGTATACATGGAAGAGTTCACCAATGCAAACATTTCTTTGCTTCTCACTCTTGGATCACCTCTTCAGTATGTATTACCGAATAAAACTTGCTTCAAAGACTAAAAATATAAATATTTTAAACCTTCGTATCTTTTTTATATGTTAATTTTAGGCCACCACCAAAAGGGTTGCCAGGAGTTATTGATCAAACAAGGGGTCTTTTGGATTACGTGGAGAAAAACTGCAAGAAAGCTGTTTATACTCCAGAATTGAGATACGTATGTATCGCAGGCAGGTATACTAAAATCCATAAACAAGGGAAAACTTTTTAGGGCTATTTTTTATGATGAGAATGAGGAGGGTATTCGCGTCATTTACACTAGTAATCAAACATTTGGTAGCTTTGTAGGTATATTCAGGGAAGTCGTTTCTTTGGTAACTCAAATTCTCCAACAACTATTCCTATTGCCATTGAGCAATCTGTTCCTGAGGTTGCTATTGGAAATAATCCAAGCACCTTAACACCAACTGATGCTACATTTCGCACTCGCTTTGTTGGTCAAGGATACAAACAGGTATATATTTTTTACTATGAGGGTATTTTGGTCTTTTGATAAAAAACAAAAGAACGGAATTGAATTCCTTCCTTGATTCCATCCTCTCCTACGAATAGTACGAAAGATGAAAGATTCCAACAAAATTAAGTTTTATTCATTTGGACGCCAAACACACAATGGAACATCGGAATGGAATCACGGATTCCGATTCCGATTCCACCGAAATCAACAAACGAAACACATATTTCTTTGCTTTAGGTGTAATGGTAGTATAATAATATATCAATTTTTAGAGGGTATTTTGGTCTTTAATTAAAAAAAGGAAGAACGAAATTGAATTCCATCCATCCTTCCCTACTGTTGGTGCAATCTATCAGATATAGAATTTGAAGGATTCTGAAGGAATGGAATCGGCAACCAAACACGTCATGGGAATGGAATTGAATCCTAATTCCATCGGATCCTATGAGGACATCTTAGTCTTTTTAATACCATCCTCTCCTACAAATGGTGAAATCCATCAAACATGAAATATGAAAGATTCCAAGAAAATTGAGTTCCAATCGTTTGGAAGGCAACACGCAACGGAACATCGGAATGGAATCATGTATTCCGATTCCGATTCCGACGGAATCAACAAACGAAACACATGTTTTTTTTTGCTTTAGGTGTAACGGTGGTTCTCGTTTTTCATAGGTATGTGGGCAGGCAGATGTATGGGGTGATGGGGTGGTCCCAGAAATATCGGCTCATCTTGAGGGTGCGTTAAATATTAGTTTGGATGGAGTCTACCACTCGCCTGTTGGCTCAGATGATGAATCAAGGCCATGGTATGGATCACCAGGTGTTGTTGACCAATGGGTACACCATTTACTTAACTAGTTGTGCATATATATAATGTCCATATTATTTTGTATGAGAATTTGTCATATTGACATTGTAAATCCTACATCATTCACCACAAGTTTTAGTTTTACTTTTACACCCATTAGAGTTCACTTTGTTATGTATATGGACTTGCTTTTGAACAAGTCATTTTGAGATGGAAACTACGACATACTACTTCAATGTGAATGTTAAATTCCAATAGAGTTACAATTTAAACAAACATACATGCTTGACCATTGGGCTTTTAATGGGTTGCAAAAATTCAAATAGGAATGATGCTCAACTAGATTTTAATCCGGTTTTTCTTAGACAAGACATTTAGGGGCTGTTTGATAAAGTTAAATCATTTAGTGTTGAATTATTCAAATCTTTTAATAGTTTAGAGAAGATAGGGTTCCTTGTGATTTATGGTTGTTCAAGATTATATCAAATATATGTATCAAATGTTTTGAATTCTAATAGATTTAGATGCGACTTATGAATGGTTCAATTCAAGAGGTTATCAAACAACCCTTTAGACTTGTTGGATTCTTTTTATTTTTATTTTTTTTGCCGTTTAAACTTGTTGGATTCTTTTTATTATTTTTTTTTTTGTGCTTTTTTGATTTTTTGAAGTCTAGTGGTTTGAGAAACAAAATTTCATATATGATGATCCAAAGTTCAATCCTTGACATGCTTCGCTAATGTTCCATGATCGACGTCTGGGCCTTCATGATAGGTGAAATGAACGACTAAGATTATGTGTTTTGCCTTTTTTTTATAAATCAATAATGTTATTTTTATTTTTTTTGTGTGAATTTTCAAAAGGAAAGTAATTCGTACATAACAGTTTTTCTTCATACACAACTATTTATGTTTTATATGATTGTACAATACGATACTTTAAATCATAAATTGTCAGGATACAAATCACATCCATTTTCAAAAATATTAGAAGTACGGACCTAATAAACAAGGGCAACCTGTATAGGATCCGGATCCATTATTTGGTCCAACATTTTGTCAAGGCCCCAATATAAAGACTCCTGAAAAACAATTCATGAATCAATGGGTAAAAACCAGCCAATTGTGGGCATCTTTTAAGATCAAAAGCCACTTAAACATATTTTCTTGTTAACAGCAGCAAGATTCAAATGTGGGTAAAACTATTGTTCTACAGCTTTGAAATAAAAACCTTATATTTGTCATATGAACCTAGAACTACATACACGGCCTAGTCTTAAAACTGGAACAATAGCATTAAGACTGCTTTTGTTACACAGGATTGGACAAACTTAAACTTTCTATGGATTTTTTTCATGTAAAAGAGGACGAGGAATTTTTGTACAAAACATTAGACGAGTCTCTGTACCACATTTTCTCGATGTGGCAAAAAAATGCACCTAGAAATTTCACTACACTATTCAACCCAGGGAAAAAAATACTGAAAGTGGAAAAAAGTACAACTATCACTGCACCATTTACAACTAGTGCCAGGAGCAAGAAAATAGCATTCAACAAGACATGTTTTCTCAACACCCTACACCACTTACCCAGAGAAACATAGAAATGAGCAATCAATTTGCATACAAAATAAACTCTGGAAGCTTCAGTGCACTCCTAAATTCAAAGGAAAATATGAACTTCAGAGTGTCATGTTCTAACTAGTCTTGACAAAATGAGGAGCAAGCAATTTGGCAATTTCTAGAAACCCAACTCTGTCTCTCCCATCAAATATTGTCTTGAGCTTTTCATCACAAATTATCTCTCGCTTGTTTTCTGGATTCTGCACACAAAAATTCCCCATCTTAGAACACAACAATAGGGAATATACTTTATTCGTTTTATCAAAAAAATGTACACATTACATTGTGTAATGAGCCACTTTTGTCACTAATTCACAGAAGGTTTTGATTCTAATCCACTAACCACAAGGCCCTCGATTGCATAATCAGGTTATAAAGTAAAACCTAGCAAACATTTCAGGTGTATTCTCTCATTTTCTTCATGATCACAGTCTTAGGGTTTAACAATATCATATTTAGAAACCAAAACCGATTAATTTTGTTGGATTCAAGTCATACAACCAATATAAGTAGAACACATGATTGACAGCAATCAGAACTAGTTCACTTGGCTTTCAAACAACTAGGTGACTCTAATTTCCCCAAACTCATTTCGATTAAAATGCGTAATAAGCGAAAACCTAAAACCGATTTCAAAGTTACTAGTATATTTGTTGATGTTTACAGATATCATGTAAGTTGAATACGTAAAGATAAACGCATTTACCGAACAAATTGGGCGAAGAAATGTGAAAATCGAAGAAAAATGAATTAATAACTCGCCTGAAGCTCATGGAGCTTGATGTGCTGCCAAATCTTCTTAACGGCGTCGGTGCGAGGGGATTCAGAGACACCGAGGAACTGAGCAAGGGCTGGAGAAATCGGAGTTGGTTTCAGAATGCCAACAGGTTTCAACGATTTTTCAGCAGAAGCTGGCTTCGGTTTCTTCGCTGGTTTGTCTGTTGGTTTTTTGACGGTGGTTTTCTTCTTTGCAGCGGTGGTGGTGGTAGCGGCAGCGGTGGCCGTGGATTTGGGAGTGGCGGACTTTGCTGCGGCGAATAGCGATCTGCAGCCGTTGAAAACCCTAGCACCCGAGGCCATTGGAGTGATTATTGCAGTGGATGGTTCGAGTGTTGTGTGTTGGCGAATGGCGACGGAAATATAGCAGGGCAAGACAATAGTTTGAGAGAGCGATGAAATTGGTTAGGGGATATTAGTGCGACGGGAGGTCACATAGGGTTACTCGATCAGTGACACGTGGCAAAAACCAATTTTTAGCGATTCAGTTTTAATAAAAAAAAAACACAACCAAATAAAAAAATGGATAATGACTTAAAATGGTACTATATTCTTCGATTTGTACACATTTGGTCACTGAGTTTATTTTTTGTTCACATTTACCCATTCAACTTGTTAAACTGTACACATTCAGTCCTTATTACCGGTTATTTCAGGTTCACCGGTAAAAATGTCTTAATAGGTAATATATTTTTCATTTTGTATACATTTAGTCATTAATATTTTTGTATACATTTAGTCTTTAATTTTTTTTGTTGCAAAATAATTTATTTTTGTTTTTGTACTCATTCAATACTTATGAATGTTTTCTTTAAGTTTTTCTCACAACATCTTACATGGAACAATCATTAACAAGGTGTTTTAGGCTTTTGATGCTTATGTCCATCGCGATCTCGACTACTTGGTTGCTTAGGTTATGTGTTTTGAACGTCATAACTTTTTAATACTATCTCGGATTTTAACGATCTTTATATCTATGCGTTTGTATTTTAGTCTACTACAACTTTCGTTTAGATTACTCCATTAAAAAGTAATATATTTTTTAATTACGATCTTTATATCCATACGTTTTTTATGAATGCATGTATGGATGTTTTTTTTTTATAAAATCGTAAGTAAAAACATATTATATTTTAACGGGAGTAATCTTAACGAAAGTTATAGAAGACTTAAAAAACGAACACGTAGATATAAAGATCGTTAAAATCAGATATCGTATGAAGAAGTTACGACGTTCGGAATACAAAACCTAAGCCAAACCACAAGACATATGCAACCAAGCAGTCGAGACCGCGATGGACATAAACATCAACAGCCCCAAACATCTCATCAATCAGGGACGGACACATGATTTGGTAGTCGGCGTTGCCGGTCCGTAGAAAAAGAAAAAAATATCGAAAAATTTACACTGCGTACAGAAAAAGCAGGGGTTGTCGGTGCCACTGCGGGCATCCAAAGAGAACCGTCCCTGTCATCATAGTCCCATGTTAGATGTCGTGAGAAAAACGCTAAATAAATCATTCATAAGTACTGAATTGGTACAAAAAACAAAAAATGTCTTATTTTGAAACAAAAAAAATATTAAGGACTAAATGTATACAAAAATATTAAGGAATAAATGTGTACAAAATGAGAAATATATTACCCTAATAAGTCATTTTTCCCGGCTAACCTGGAGTAACCGGTCATAATGACTGGATGTGTACAGTTTAACAAGTTGAAGGGGTAAATGTGGACGAAAAAAAAACTCAGTGACCAAATGTGTACAAATCGAAAAATATATTACCCTTTTAAGTCATTATCCCATAAAAAAATATATTCATACGCAAAAGCATTAGCATTATATATATATATATATATATATATATATATATATATATATATATATATAGAATTAGGTTCATTTGAGACCAATGATATTTTGTGAGACATGGAACAACATCTTAGCTTTTGATCAAAACTAATCTGATGGCTCATAAAGAACGTGATTAACACTAATTAATGTACTTGATTAGTTAATTAGGGGCAGATTAGTCATTAGGTTAAATATAACATCTTTAGCAGATCTGATAGATTATTAACGTCATGTTCACGTCATCAAGAACATCATCATCTGCTTCGATTCTTCTACCAAAATCAGCACTCATATACAATCGATATTCCTTCATATTCATATTCATGTAATTAATCTTCATCTCCTAAAATATTCACTTCTTTCTACTAGTTCGTCCTGGTATTTGAGATCACCATTCACCGGTCGATCAATGATCCTTACCTGTCGAAATCACAAGCATTAAATTTGCGATTTTTGTGATTTTGGAGTTCATCTTCTTCATTCTTCTACATTTTCATGTGATAATCTAATTTATTGAGGTTGATTTTCATATATCGACATCAGGAATTCATCCCAAGATTGTGATTGACTTTTAGTTCTGTGATCATCAATTTTCATCCAAGGTAGAGGTTCAAGTGTTTAGTGATTTATGTTAATCTTCATCTTCAACAACTGTTTACGCTCTTTCAAGCTATGATTTATTATTTTGTATCGTGATTTCATCAGTTGTTCAAGGCTTGAATTTTCATCACTTTTATTGTTACTTCTGTTTAACCTAGAACAACAATATTCAATTTTTAATGTTACTTGCATGTATCATATTATGTGTTTGACCTATTAGCATAAGATGATTAAATCTTCAAGTGACTAGCGATTCCCTAATTCATCTAGGTCTCATTCGTGATTTTAGCAATCAACATCATATTGATTGATTGAATCTATTTAACCTAGAACACAAGTTAACCTAGAATATGTTATTTAACAATACATCATCTGTTTCAAGGTTTAATTTTGTAATTTTATTCAATCAATATGTTTTTCAGCAATTTGTTGTATGTTTCAATGTTTGTTTTTCATTAACATCATCTTGTTGATAAGTTCATGTTACTGCATATTATTCTTATAGAATATTAAACATACATTTATTAATATCAATTATGATAACATGTACATGCTAAATTGTGGTGTTTTATGATCATATTCATATGAATTCACATTATCCTGTTTATATGTTAAGATGGTGGTATATTCTTTTTTGTAGTTCAATGTTATAATGTTGCAGCATAAACTAGTTTTTGCAAACAATTCATTGGATCTGATGGTTCTTTGTTTTAGATTCCAGATGTTGAATCTAGTTTGATACCTGTTATAGGTAAAACTTTTAAAGAAATTAGTAACGGTATTAAGTGGTATATAGAGTATGCATCAAGATGTGATTTGTCATTAGAAAGTCAACAAAGAGGAAACAAGATAGTAGAATTATGACTGCAATATATTTGGTTTTGCATATGGTGGGATTGCTAATGTACTTTCATTTATTAACCAATATAATGTATGTACAAAGCATTTTGCAATTTATCTGTAAACTGAAAAGGTATGTACAAAGCAATTATTATTTTTGAGAAAAATCTCTTTAAACTATACATGCATTCCTCCTTGATAAAAATCCTGAATGAACAAAGGGTCTAATGTATCATTCCTCCTTCCCACAACAAAAGACTTTTTTTAAGAATATAAGTATATTTCCAAAATATGAATCATAGTTGGTCTAAAACAATGTCATGTTGACTACTCTTACTAATTTACAATATTTTTTAACTATATTTTTTTTCTTCAAACACAGAATGTTGGTGATGTCTTTTTAGCCAAGTTTTTTTTAATATGCTCTTGTTAAGTTGCAGGAAAGGGTTGTGATAAAGAAAATATGATATACTCTTAAATATGTTTCTAGAATATGATCATTACCATGGTTTTTTTTTAAATCTTTTTTTCCTTAAAACAAAAAGGTTAGATATGTCTCTTTTAGCAATATTGATTATTCTTGTGCGGTAAAGGGTTGTATGGAAAACGATTATTAGATTTAGATTATTTTTTTACCAATATTTACATGGTGTGCTGTATGATCAATTACATTACATAATACAATATTTCTGTTGTATTATCAATTACATTTGTTATGACACATTGACTTCATTTTCAAATCTTTGGTTATGTAATCCATACTCGATTCTAACTATTCTTTAATTTTTGGTTGCAGAGAGTTTTAGCTGATAAAACACAACTTGAAAGGAACTTAAATATTCCAAGCTAGAAGTTTTTAACTATAAGTGTCGATATTAATGAATATGTAATAGATTTTATAAGTTGCCAACATGTGATAGAGTTTTATGGTACAAACTTAAAATGTGGTTTTCAAATTATCAGTGTTTTTCTACTCATCGGGATTGTAACATCCAAAAATTTTACGCCAAATTTAAACTTTTCAAACATAAATAAAACCCAATAGTATTGTTTACAAAAATGTTTTCAATTCATTATTCAATCAGAGTGTCCCAAAAGCCAGATCATAAGGATGAGGAGCGGTACAGTCACGCCTTCGCCTTGCCATGAACTCTTGAAGTACCTGAAAAAATAAACTAAAAAAACTGTAAGCCCAAGGGCTTAATGAGCTACCCCCCCTCCCCCCCCCAAAAAAAAAATACCAATACCACACTGATAATACCATATCCGTAATAATCAATCAATCAACATGCATACTGGGCCATCGGCCTGACTGGACCACCCTACAGGGCCTACAGTCCAACTAAATCTATACCGAGCCTTCGGCATGACTGGACCGCCACGTGGGCCTACAGTCTTCCCGGACCGCTCATAGGGTGTGTTGGCCTTCAGTACAAAGCAGGACCGCCTCAACCCAAGCAACAAGCAAGTAACCATGTGCGCATAACTAACATATACTGGCATATACAACCATCAAACATATCTATCTCACTGAGCATCAAACATAGCAATCTCTTATAACTAGAGCATTGACCTGGCAGGTCACTAACACATCAATCCCTACGGATCATAAGAGCATGACATACTGTCTATCCTGATTCTGATCTAACAGATCACATCCACATGTAGCATACCATAACGATAACAACTAAAAGGGTCGGCCTTGGTGCCTTAGAGCCTATCGATATAGTGAGGATAACTCACATTGCAGATGTCGACTCGGTAGATAAACTTCAACCCTCGGATCACTGCCACAAACTCCACCACCTATAACCATAGTATAATCATACCCATAAGCCAACTAATCAATCCTGGTCAAAGTCAAAGTCATCAGTCAAGGTCAACAGTCCATGTTGACCTCGACTCGCCGAGTACCCCCGACTACTCACCGAGTTCCTTGAAGTACTAATCCACTCGCCGAGTCAACCGAGTGACTCGTCGAGTTCCTTTGGTTTACGATCGAGACCCT